CCAAGACGGTTAGGCAGCCGGCCTTCACCGTGGGGGGACTCCAGCCGGCCGCTTGAGAAGGTCTGCAGCACCTGCGGCAAAATTTCGCTCTGGTGCGGGCCCCGGGGGGAGGGGGGGGGGCATTCCCAGCTGCCTGGGGCTTCCCTGAATTAGGAATTTAGACTCTTGACGACCTAGCTTGTTGTAAAAACATTGGACCTCCCGACGACAGTCGAGGGGGTTCAGGGCGAGGGGCAAGTAGGCGAGATTGGCACAGACCCTTTCAGGAAGGTGTCGAGTCGGAGTTGCTCGTTCTTGGTCGACGCATGGGGGGGTACCCACGCACAGGACGGCTCGGAGGCTTCTGCAGCTGGGGGCGGGATGGCCTGTAGTCCACTCAAGCCGCGATGGTTTCCTACACGAGGTCTTCAATGGTGTCGTAGTTGGACCCATGAAGACACATGTTGTAACGGGTGACTAACGAACAATGCGAGAAACCCTCTGCGACTCGAGAGCAGCTTGCACTGCTGGATTGAGTAGTTCCTGCATGACTCGAATATACTTCACAAGGCCTTCTTCTGGGTTCTGTGTGTGACACTCGATTTCCCGCTGGACTCGGGGCTCGTACCCCGGTGCCAGGAACTCCTCTCGGAAGCTGCGGCGGAACGCCTCAAGAGATGGAAATAGAATGACTAATACCCGTGCCACACGGGCAACTCGAATGACATTTACAACGAATGACACTCGTGTGATTTACGAATCGGCTCGCGATATGTCGCGGGGGGAACGCCCCACGCTCGGAGTGTCGCGCACCGATTGGCCGACCGTTCAAATGTCATTCGTTGTAAATGGCATTCGAGTTGCCCGTGTGGCACGGGTATAAGGCTATACGCACAACATCATGCACCTTGACCAGAGGTGGCTATATGTAAAACGCGGAGAGGTCACGCTGGACAAACCATGTATCACTGGGAGCTTGTTAACCCCCCCCCCCCCCTCCCCCCCGCCTGCGTTCACAGCGCTTCGCTGCGACAGTATGCGGCTGCTAATTACAAGACTACTATATTTACCCGAGTAATGGCCGCACTGTTTATGAAGAAAACCTGAGAGTTCGCTCTTCTACGGAGCACGCAGATTGCCAATCACCGCGGTCGACAGAATGATTCCAGCTGTTTACAAGACAGAGATAATGTTTTCGAGCGAAGATACCATCTGTAAAGACTGCACTTGTATGGAGAATCGCGTTCTCGATCTGGTTATTCGCTATGTTATTTATGCGCAACGCAATGATTGGCTGTATACGTGTTCTGTGGGAAAGTAGACGGGAGGACGTTGCTCATAAATAGTGCGGCTATTACTCGAGTAAATACAGTATTAGCCATTTGCCCCCCCCCCCCCCGCCCCTCTGCGGCATTCAGTCGGCAACCAAAGCTCCGCTGTTCCTCATGCACCTCCGGAAAGAGAGGACCATACCATTTAGTTGAGCGAAGTTTCGTCAAAAACATTCATTCTTTTCACTGTTAATCATAGAAAAGAAATGTAAATATTGCCAAATGCCTCAACAAAACAATATTTGAGAAACAAAAAAAAAAGGTAAACCCAGAAGGGGGGTCGAACCCTGGCTGCTGCGTAGCAGGCAGACGCGTTACCACTATGCTACTTTACAGCTTCGGAAATCTTGTTTTGACAGTTAATTTTACACGAGAACCAAAACGTTTCGCGTCGTGCGTATAGCCCTTTCCGGTCGAGGTGCAGTCAATTAGAATCTGCAACACCCACCATCGTCTCGCACTCACCAGCAAGGCAGGGGGAAGATCCGCTTCAGCACGTAGGCATCCGAGGCGCTACGCGTCCGAGGCGCTGGACGCTCTTGCGTAGACGCCCAGCACCGCGACGAAGTCGGCGACGGACTTGCGGTAGTCGAGCCCCTCGGGGCTCGTGCTGTCGCTGGCCACCTGTTTCGCCCGTGACGGCTGCTGAAAATAACGCACGGCAAACAAACAAACAAAAAAAAAAACAGACACGTGAAGAGAACATTAAAAAAAAAAAAATTGATCGCTAAGCGCGGACGTGCGGCAAGAAAAACGGGCGCCGATGATTGGAACGGTGTCGACGCTGATCGCAAGTTTCATGATCGGTAAGTCGTACTCACTTGTTTCTCGTCGCCCCGCATTTTCTTCTGCCCATAGTGGCGTCTATTGTGTAAAACGAGTCGTAGTACACCCGGGCTGAGGCACAGCGAGTCGAAATCCAAGTGGCTCGTCACGCAGCGCGCCGGCCCTGCTGCTTGCGTAAGGCGGCAGGGTACACCGGGCGTCATACAACCCGACGACGATCTCCATCGGTATGCAGCAACCGCATTGGCACCTTAAAACAGAAAACTGGTATCAACTATAATGTGAGTTTTACAAAAAAGAGCGTATCACCTATCAGACTGTGTTGGGAGCCGCTGGGTTCCATCGCCGAGTGCGTTATTCTCTTTTGTATCCGGAGTCCGGTGTCGATACCGAAGGCGCTTCACTGGCTTCGCAGCGCCGTGGAATGCCGTCGTCTACGTTTGCGGCGCGTTTGAGGCGTCGGCGTCGCGCGTAGATGCGGCGTCGTACGGGATGAACCTGATATCTGCCGTCCGCCGAAGAATTTCCATACGACGACACCACATTCGATGAACGTTTTAAAATGAGTCCGTCCAATACGCGCACATTCGAAAAAATCAGTCCGCCGAATACGCGCACATTTCAAAATCAGTCCGCCGAATACGCGCGCATTTCAAAATCAGTCCGCCGGGACTCGTGATTGGCTGGCGCACGCCCTTCCCCGCTGCCTTCCCGTCCGACAGCGCCCCTGACGGCGTGCGGCTAGGCGCAGAACACCGATCTTTGATTGGATTTTTAATAGGGAAATCGGCCGCCCTTGAATATAATTTTAGGATTTTTAGGATGCTTAGAGCCCGTAGATTGCGTTATGACAATAAATAGACGATCTCAGAGTCCACTTGAGTGCCCCTTTAAAGGTAATAAATAAATAAATAAAGTGCATGCATTTTATTTTTACTTACATGAGCGTCTGTGCTCTTGAACATTAGGGTGTTTTCGTAAACCGCCTTTCTCCCTCCGCTAAGCTATGCGGAACTCAGATGCGGCTATTGCGCCTGCGCGCCGCAAGCCTTGACTGAAGAAACCCGGATCTTGTAACTGGTTGCAGAGAGCGTTACGAGACGGCGGAAACGGTCTACAAAATCTCCCTGTTCCCCACACAGAGATATTAGGATCTTCGAAATTAATTTGGAGAGATAAAAAAAAAGGGGTTGCGCTGTCTTCACCATGAATTCATCAGGCTCGGCAGACATTAGATGAAAGGATAATCGTCAGGGTAAGTGGACTTAATAGTTAAAACATGTTAGGTAACTTTTCTAGCAATGGGGTTTAGGGGTCAGGTTCCAATTGCAGTCTTGACGGCATTTACGATTGGAGGCCAGACCATTTTAAAAATTGCGCAAAGGCAATGAAATGGTCTTTGTAAACTTTGATAATACGCTTAAACGCATTTTTCGTCCAATTTGAAAATGGCGCGCGACACAGAGCGCCGTAAGCCCTGCCCAAAATTATGCTTGGAGAGTTAAGGCCCGTTCACACTTTTGCGACCGCTTGCGACCTCTTAAACCTGGGCTCCTTAAAACTTCTTAAACCAGAGAACACACTGGCGCCATCTATTGGGAAGCAGTGTAAACTCGGCGGTACGGCATATTTTTTTTACTTTCTCGCGCAATATCCTTTCTTTTTTGGCTCGAAAAACTTTTGTCAATGTTATAAACGAGCCTTTCTATAGGTATTACGCACGTTTGACCTCGGAAATCCCGCAAAACCTTCGCTTTTGTGAAATGCAGTTCTAGGGTCACCGCATAGATGGCGCCACAATGTAAGTGTGTCCCCCCATTCTAGAAACATTTAAGAAGTTGTAAGAGATCTCGTCTCTCTCAGTCGTACTCGGTCGCAAGAGTGTGAACGGGCCTTTACGTGGTCGATTCAGTCACGTCGTTACTTATGTCATCGGCGCACCTGCCAAGGACACGCTGCCGAGACAGTGACGACGTGATGATGGGAGCGACTGCGTCACTGTTAAAGGGTCGTTGTGAGCAGGGCTTGTGGCACTCTTTTTGAGCGGAAGTTTTAAATTCGGGTTGAAAACGCTAATATTAAACGTATAATATTTTAGAAACTCTTACCTTTTCGAAAATTATTTAAATTGGATCTACCTGCAATAGTAATTGCTGTGAGCACTGCAATGAAAACATGTTCCCGAAACCCAATAATAAAAAAGTTATTCAGCAAATCTCAGCAAACTAGCCAAGTAAAAATAACAATGATCCCCTTACCTCATGTCTGCCAAGCCCTATAAATACATTGTTGAGACGACATTCGTCTAACTAGAGCCCTTTCTTAAATATGTTGGAATTAAAAGCAACCTCCTTTGAAGCGTTAGCTAAACTCTGTCAGAACTTTGATCAATTCACTAAAAAATTCAAAATTTAAAAGAAAACAAAACAAAAAAAAACACATATATATTTTGTTGACAAGACTCGTAACTCACGTACGAAACATATTTACGTTTTTTCTCACAGTTTTATTGATCACTGAGGTGCTTTCTCGTTTGCAATCTGTAGATAAAAAGAAACACCGAGACTGAGGAAAACAGAAAAAAGATGAAGGTTCTTGAAGGATGTGTTGTCACCAGCTCGCGCGTCGTTTGAGTATTTTATCGGCCGTCTTTCTACTTCTTCTCGCGCCCCATTCGACGTTCCCGCGCATATTCCACGTTGTGCTCGTCAGCCGCTCGGGCTCCGGCGGCGCCACTCTCGCACGCCACGCCAGAGCAGCGGGCGGGAGCGCTCAACGAACGTGGGTTGCAGCCGAGGAGTTCGCGCCACGCGCATTCCGCCGCGCGCCTCGGAAGCATCGGGTTCGGAGCATCCTCGCTTGCTTGCTATTGTGCGCCGCGTGTCCTCCTCGGCAGCCCGCATACCGGCGTCGACGAAGTGCGCGCCCGTCGTGGTGCCCCCGTGTTCCTCTTCGTTCAGCCATGTGGCCAAGACCGTTCTGACTCAGGGTGATAGTTGTGCGGATACAGTGTGCTGGTGAGTGATTCGTTACTATATTCTTCTTGTGTAGTTAATGTCAGCACGGGTTGATATTCCTACGGATTCTTGGCGGTATGCGGCGTTATGGAGTCTGTGATATTATGCTTATGTGATGTGTACCAATAATAACACCAATATTTTTGCTTTTATAAATATTATTTTGAAAGAATGCTTTCGGTAACTCAAGCAAAGAGTAAAATCGAATTGGTGGGCGTTAGGACAGAATCTTTGCCTAAGGTGGTGGGATGGCGATTTAGACTATTATGACTAAAGGACACGCGATGCTTGTTTCGGAGGAGTTCTTTGAATTTGAAACAGACCTGTAATCGGAGATGGGCAAAATACATGCAAATATGTATCGAAATACAAATACAAAATTCTTCGACAAAATGTATTTAATTACAAATCTAATTACATTTCCAAAAGAGCATTTAAGTAGAAGATACAAATACAACCGAATGTATTTGGTCTCCCTCCAAATACTTTTCCAAATACATTCCTCAAAATTTGCGTCAGCGACTTCAGGGAACCTGCAACGGGTTTCTGGGTATCTCATTTTAATTTTGCATCGCACACTAGGGAGTTAGTGCGCGAGGCTCTAGTAACGAAGTAGAAATATAATCACAAAAAATGTAATCAGCCTGGACGCTATAGGTGAAAAAAGTGCAGAGATTCAAGCAGTTTTTTTTGTTTTTTTTGTGGATTACATTTTGGTATAGACCAACAAAAACCAAGACGCGCAGCTCTAGCTAGAGAATTTTTTATTGTTGCAACTCGCACCAGTTACGAAAATCTGGACAACCCGCGCATTAAGAATGTTCCAGGCAAAACTATGGATGGAAATCAGGCTGGAAGGCATCACAAGTTGTCGCAGGCACTTATTTAGCCGGTCTGCCTGTGAACGTCGATTTCGTCACTATCCTTGCCCTGGACTAGCACCGTAATCACAAAGTCACTAAACACTTGTGCTTGATTGAGAGACACTGCATTCGGTGCAGAACATAGGTTTCTTCCTGCTCTGGACAGTGCCTTTAATATAAAGCCGGAAGAGAAAAATAAAAAAAAAACCATGGACCGAAATAAAAATGGAGACTATATCTTACAACCGCATGCATAAAAACAAGAATTGTCGTGACAATAAATTTGAATGATGTATTTTCGCCCCAAAAATTGTATTTAATTACAATGGTACTCGAAATACCCACGTTATAGTATTTAAATACACACGTCAAATACATTACCCAATTTGTAATTAAATACAAATGCAAAATATACAAAGTATTTTAAATACGTATTTCAAATACTTGTATTCGAAATGCTGCTCATCCCTGCTTGTAATCATTACACGTGATCAAATTACTTATAATTGATTACCTCTTCGAGTAATTTTGTAATAATTTTAATAATTTATTAGGAAGGACTCGTGACAGTGATCTCATTACGAGGTACTAATATTAAAATACTAGTAGCGCGAAATTCTAAACGGAAGGGACAATGTTACGCTTACAAGCGTTACGTTTTTCCCATTCGTTTCTAATGGCGTTTTCTGTTCGCACGTGATTCTTGGAAAGGAATCGTCGAACCGAATCTCCGACACAAGGACGGTTTACCGAAATCTGTGGGTTAAGGATATAAGTAGCTTATAATTCGGTGATTCTAATCCTATGAATGTGAGTGGTAAGACTCGCTTTCAAACCGACAGGAAACACTCCAAGGATCAAAAGTATCCAGGCGAGTTTGTTAGGAAATATAATGTAAACCCTTGGACAAGGAAATGTAAAATATTGATTGCTATTTTATCTTTCATTGTCCCAGGTTTTACAATATAAAGAACAAAATGTTTTGAAAAAAAAATGGGAGAAGTTTGCGATTTTTTTCCGCTGGACACCTCCACGAACTTCACCGGCTGCTACGGGTGACATTTAATATTAATATAATGTATAGGGCTTGTAAAATTGTATTTCGGGTACTCTTTATCGGATGAGAGTGCCTCCTTTGTCATGCATTTGTTATATTCGGTGGACTTCAAATGATAAAATAACCGTCCCAGTTAATTAGTTAATTAACTGAAATATTCTAATTAACATTCCAAGTGTTCATCTTAAGAGCGATATGGGGAAAATAGTATTGAGGGCGGTTATAATTCGAGGGTAAGACAATTTAAACCGTTTATGAATTACCACCGGTGTTCAAGATGTTCACCAAACAGGTTTCGCGTTTTTTTTTGTTTGTCCAATGATATTGAAACTGGACACAGAAAGAGCGCCGGAACTGCCTTACATAAAGGTGCGTGGAAAGTGACTAACTCGTTTCGGACGTTACGTAATTTGGGAGTTTTCATGTATAATTATGATAGCTCAATAATGGTACCTGAGAATGAGACGATGGTTGTACGAGGGCGTCAGCGGAGTGTCGGGTATTGTTTTCAAGGATCTACTAAAACTCTAAACTTGAGGATTTTAAGAGGGGAAAGTCAGTAAGCAAGTCACAAAAGGATATTTAAAAAAAAAAAAAGAATCGGCGCTTGGTACTAAAATTGAAACGTTTTCTATTTCTCAACATGTCCTCCCCCAATATTGACACATTGATCGCATGTCTCTACCAGTGCCCCAAAAAACCTGCAGCCTAAAACCCTTTGGGCTGCTGCCTCAGTCGCGTGCGCACCCGCCGTACTGTTGCTTAGGTCGCAGTCTCAACGCGTAGGCCGGTTCGTTCCCCTCGTCAACAAGGCTTGAGCTTCCTTGAGAGAACTTCTCTACCCAGTTGTGCACCGCTTTACGCGACAAACAATTGTCAACGTAAACAGAAAACACTTCCTCCTGAACATCTTTTGCATAAAGCTGTTTCGCGCGAAAAAAAAAAAAAAGAAAAAAAAAAAAAAACTTTACAATGGAATTCTTTATTCTTCTAGCGTATACACTTTTTGAGCACGGTCGCCAATTCGAAACTGAGCTGCGCAGGCGAGGGGACTGCTACTTAGTGACTGCGCAGTGCATGCCCTTAACCTGGATTGTGTTGCCACCTATTGAAATGTTTGGAAACTATAGTCACTGCTTCTATCAGATATTTATTTCAGTTTGTGGCTTACCGACTTTCCTTCGGAGTGGATCGTCCTGATGCCTCCGATAAGAATTCCGGATAACGGTACGATGCACGCGCAAAATGCCACAGCTCGAGTATCGTGCATCGTTAGTGGAGTCACCGTCACGGTCTACTAAACCTCCTTATAGAGTTTTAGGAGATCGTACCGACGTCTTCGATAACGACACCCAATACTCCGTTGATGTCTTTTGCGCATGCTTCGTATCGTTATCGGGGTATTGGCGGTATCGCGACGATCTACTAAAACGCTCTTATATCTCGGCCGCGCGACATCGGCACGTCCACCAAGGAAACGGTGCCGGGTAGTGACGTGGAGCGGGAAAAAAGTCTACATTGCAAAAGCGTACATCATTCTGAAAGCAAGTTCCTGGACCCCTTCTCTGTCCAGCTTGAGAATCATGATACAACATCAAATAGTGGTCGTTGGATATCTGGAAGACCCTAGGTATTTTTAAATTTATTTCCATTACATTAGCCTATAATCGTTACTGATGGCAAGACTGCAATTTTAAAGCGGCACATAAATTAAATATTTAGAAAGCTCCCTAACGAATCTTCCGTGACAGACATTTTCTCATTAAATGTCCCCCGAGCTTGAGAAACAAACTGCGAAAACGGCATCCGTGTAACTCTCACTGCATCTATAAGGATGTTCGAATTAAGATCGAACACCGGGTATGTTTCAGATGCAATTTTAGTGAGCAGAAAACAGTTCAGGCTCGCTACTGTTCCCTTGAAGTTTAAATGAATGAAACAATTATCTCAGTATTTTGAGTAAAAAATAACTGTTTATACTGTTTGGTGTATTTACTTTCGAATCGTGTAACGAGAAACGTTTTGCATACACACTTGCACGGCATTAATCCTTGAGTCTAGGTTTTTGTGTTCTTCTTTGATGATACACTATGAGACACCGGAAAGACGTAGTTTTAATTATTTCTTTATTTAACGATACCGTTGCTCTTCACTGAAACCCATAGCGTGAGTGGTATACAATTGAAAAACGTGAAGAAAAAATGAACGTACGAAAACCCGTTTAAGAAATACGAAGTTAAGTGAAGTATTATAATGTTCAAGTGAAGAGAGAGATTTTTGTTTCTTTCTTATCGCTTGCAATTGAATTTCAGTCTTGTACTGCCGGTAGAAACAAAAATTAACGTATACATACATTTGTTTAAATCTGTACTGCTTAATTGAAGTGGTGTGAGGTTTCGAGGGGGAACCCGACTACACGGAGGATAAAATTGTTACGAATGTCTTGATGTTAATATTAATTTTACCGCGATAATGAAATGAAATATTAAAAAAAAAAAACTGCGCAACGCTTTAACAGACGTTTTCTTTGCACACCAATACTGCTCGCACAATCTTGCTAAGCGCATCTGTAGAGATATTTTGCACACGCGCCAGTTCAGAGCCCCCATTGCGAACCTTCTCGTTTCGTCTTACCGAGATACCAAGACACTAGAGCGGGCTTTGACGAGCCTCCACAAGGGCCAATTCTAGGGAGAAGAACATTGTCGAATCTAAAATGGCATTGACCCGTGTGCTTTGGTAATGGTGGAGCGAAGTGATGAAAATACCCGGTATATGGGATCCTCACACTGCTGTCCAGATGATCAAACTTGAAAAAGTACAAAACCGGGCTGCCCGTTTTGTTTTAAACAATTACGACAGGCGACTTAGTATGACTCGTGCGAAACAGAACCTAGGATGGAAGGAGTTAAGCTTTAGAAGGAAGAACCTTCGACTGAAATTTTTTAATAACATATTTCACTGTAGGACTGGGATAGATAGAAATGCCTACCTTCACCAGCCAGATTACATATCGCAACGAAAGGATCATCTGTATAAGGTCAAGGAATTCCGCTGTAAAAGTGACGTCTATATGAACT